TTCTTTTTCATATATTTACTATGAAGTCGAATACTGCAAACTTGGTTTTTAGACATATAGTTCTATACATTTATTGATCCTGAACAATTTCATTTCATGAATGTGTTGGCACACTTAGGAATTTAAGATGACTGAAGAGTGTAAACGTAAATACTATCCCTTTGTCTCTTGATTAAAAGATTTTTTTAAAAGAAATTAGAATTATAATGCAGATGTTAAATCTCAGTACCTAATAGTCTTTGCGGTATGATTAACTAAAGAGATAACTAGAAAGTTAGTTTTTGTCTTTTCTCTGTGTTTAAGGTGTGCGTGAGCTAGGGCTTTGGGAACCATTTCTTGTGGGTTCACTTCTACTCTCGGTTGGGTATTGAGATATGAATATTAAGTCAAAAGCCATGTGTATTGAACTTTCAAGTGTAAAATGAATTGCTTAAAATTTCATGGCATGCAATACTTAACTGTTTCCTACCTGCCCAGGTTTACTTCGGTATGCTTGATGCTTTATTGGCTGCTGAGGAGCTTCCTGAAGAGTACAGGGACCGCTATCAGGTATTACTTCCGTCTCTTCATAAATATATATTTGGTCCATTGTCATCATAATTTCCTTTCAAAAGCTTTTGTGTGGTTATTTGTCAACTTATTTTTGTACTCATTTTCATAATTCGGACGCAGGATATACTCTGCCATGACTGTGACCGAAAGGGCACTTCACGCTTCCACTGGCTATATCACAAATGTGGATCTTGTGGCTCATACAATACCCGGGTAATCAAGAGTGAGGCAACAAACTCTAGCTGCCATTAGCCTGCTTATCTTTTTGCTGTGGAAGTACAGAATATGTAAATATTTGTATAGCCTATCCAATTTTCCCCCAACCAGAAAACTGGTTACATTCCCTTTTATACCAATGCAAGTCACTTGCACGGATGCCTCTCATGAGTTACCTCATCTTCTCGTAAGCCGGAGATAGAAACACCAATGAATTCCATAGTTGTCATGTATAGATAAGCTTAAATCCATATTTTTTGCTCTGGATTAATTACCTTTTCCACTTTTCTGCTTCTTCTAGTTCTAGGTAAAGTTCATTTAAGTGCACGCTAGCTTTTCTTACACACCAATCCTGGGTGAAGGGAGACTAATCCAGTCATGTCAGATTCTGTTAGATTTTTTTATTTTATTTTATTGTGAGGATATATATACCAAATGATTCTGTGGAGCTTAATAAACAACAGCATATCATGTTGAGCAGATCTGTGGTGAATGTCAATTTTGATAGTCAAGACGGATTGAAATCTCAGTATAGTCATCACGTGTTAGGAGTTATATTAATACTTTCAAACACTTGTAACGGGCATTTTTTTGAATAGCAGTTTACATTTCCTTTTCAAAAGCACCTAATGATAAAATATACTAAACTTCTTTAGTGTGAATAGAATATATAAACGGAACATATGTATTCTGATCGTACTAAACAGAGAACGTACGTAAACTGTTGAATTTAGATAAAAAATAGTTATCAGATGAAAACGGTTTCGTTTGGTTTGCTTGTGAGACTGCTTTATCTCGAGTTTGGTCAAACTCATCCGTCCTTTTTTTATAGCTTGATTAAGATTTGAATAATGGAATGGTAACTTTTCATCAGAAATAAAGTTGCATTTCGAGGCTGATTGCTTTGGGCCATGAAATGTATATCTTAACTTTTCATTTGACATAAGGAAAGATAAAGCTGACGAAACCTTGGCATCAACTCTGCATCATGCTTAAATTGGAAAGAACTTTCTTTTTTCTTTTCAATTTACTTCTGTTTGTTTTCTGTCTAAATGACCATGGAAAATAAAAGTCTCATTCTCCTAATTCTCCTAATTGAAAGCATGCATTTTTTTTTTAATAACAATTACATAGATAGCTAATTTCTAAAACAATGCCAATTCTTTTTTTTTAAAAAAAAAATAGAGTAGTTTAGGCAAGCATTTCCAATTAATTTCTAGTTTTCTTTAGTTTGAAAATCTTATTGTTTAATCATATCAGAACCATTTAGTGAAAAAAAAATGTTTTTAATAGCTTGTAGTATTTTTTGAACCATTAATATTTTAATTTATAACTTTTCATATTTTATATTTTTTGCTTCTGAAATGTTTATTACTTTACGTTTTTTTTGCACTAGATAGACATATATTATCACATTAATCAACGTAAATAAAGTGTATGTTATTTTTATTTTAATTTTATTTTAAGCTTAAATAGAAATATTTTTTATCTATATCATTAATTGTAGAGCGCATGTTGTAACATCCTAAAAATATAGCTGTAAACTATATTTAAGAGTTCCTACATTTACAATAAAATAGAACAATTATAGGAAATAAAATTAAGTTATAGTTATCCTAAAATAACCATAAATTTAAAACTTTACAGAAACCTATACTGAATACAAACCATAAGAACAAACCAAGAACGGTCATATCCTAAGGGGTTGAAGACTCCTCGCTCAGCACATGCTCCAAAGAATCCTCTTCGCATTCTGCTCACACCCACAAGGTGATCATTGCAAGGATGTAGACGACCGAACGGATAACATGACAAAACAAGAAAATAAAGGTAAGCTAGTGTAATTTAATTAACTATGTTAACATACAATTCATACAAACATATAATACAATCATACATATACATAAATCATATAAGCATGTTATAATCGACCACTTTCACTCTGACTGTCCGGACTGTATGAATATGTAGCTACGACCGTTCTTCCACTCGTAGAAAGGTAAACTGGAAACCTCACGAATACCATAGCTGGAAACCCAAGCCGCCACACGAGGTTAGCCCTTCATCCCTCACTGTAGTTGGAAACCGCAAGCTACAACATGAGTTTAGTCCGTTAGTTGGAACCCCAAGCTATACGCGACCAGGCCTCCTGCTATTCTCACCACATGCGTCACCATTCTCTACTTGAGACTCGGTGACCATTAGAATGTCAGGATGAACGCCAGCTTAGCCTATCCATATTCATACTTTACCAATTCAATAACCATTCATCGAGACATTCCTCCTTGGAACTCTTTTCCATACCAACTTGAAATATAATACCAACATACTTCCTTATCCATAATATATTTAAGTAAAATTAAACCGAACAGTAAAACAATCACCACCATTGATTACAACCGAACGAAAAGCGTAGCATAACCTCTGAACAAGACCGAAAGGGAGACTACTCCCTATACGTGAACATGACCGAACGATCATGTAAAGAGTAAAACTTAAGCATGAGCCGAACGTCTTTGAAGTTGAACGCCAAAACAACCGAATTCTAAAGCTAAAATCGAACACTTGAATCTTAGATCAAACACTTATGATTTAGAACGAACATTATTGGCTTAGGTCGAACACTATTGGCTTAGGCCGAACACTATTGACTTAGGCCGAACACTATTGGCTTAGGCCGAACACTATCTCTAACATAACTGCTAGTATAAGACCGATCACTACCAAAAACGAGCGCTAGTACGAGACCGAGCACTACCAAGAACGAGCGCTAGTACGAGACCGAGCACTACCCAGAACAAGCGCTAGTACGAGATCGGGCACTACCAAGAACAAATGCTAGTATGAGACCGAGCAGCTAGTACACGACCGAGCGCTAACACTAGCAGAACTGCTAGTACAAGACCGAGCGTTATCATTAGCATAACGGCTAGTATACGACCGATCACTAACACTATCATAACTGTTAGTACGAAAACGAACGTTATCACTAGCATAACGGCTAGTATACAACCGAGCGCTATCACTAGCATAATGGCTAGTACACGACTGAGCGCTCTAAACTTATACATAATGTATAAGTAAGACCGATCATTGAAGTTACTGAACACAAATTACAAACTAAATACAATTATAATATCGAGGTCTTAACTGATCTGAATACTTTTATCTAGGCTGACTTATGAGTGAAAATAGAAAACTATATTTAGACCGAGCATTATATTCAATTATACACAATATAAGACCAATCGATCATTAACTGAAAAACTGTACAAAAGTAGAATTCAGTTAATACCGAACACTCTGAAAGGCCGAACGTTCACAAATGACTCTCAGCGACATGTAATAATTCTGTAGAATTATGATCAAACCTTATTCTTACCCATTCACACCATTTAACAACATCAACACATCCAGATCAATATGCAGAAAACTTCAACATTTCCAATATCAACCAAACATCTCAACATACCACCATTTAAAACATGCAACCGTACTAACATGCAGCAATCCATACACAGAAGAATTATAATTAAATCACAAGCTTCCCTTACCTCTTGATCGAACAACAAGTTCAATCAACTGCAAAATTGCGCTCACCACATACCAAAATCCTAGAACACCTAAAGCTCACCGATTGAGAAGGAAAGATCACCCCAAAAGACCAAGAACGTGATTAGAAACGAGAATAAGAAAATGGTGAGCACATGCAACCAGAAACTTGGCTTGCATGTACCAGGAAATAGAATTTCTAGGAAGAGAGTGAAATTAGTGACTCTAAACTTGATTTTGATCGGTGGAAAAGAAGATCTTGACTCCCAAAATTGCTCAGACTGTGGCTGGTTGAAGAAAAGATGAAATGAGATGAAGAATTTCTAGAGAGAAGGAGGAGAAAAGAAAAGAGAAGAAGTTTTGGAAAGAAAGAGTGATATCAAAAAATAAAATCAATATTTACATCTTTCATTTATATAGTAATATTATTTTATTATAAAACATTCAGTCTCATTATTCTCATACACCTCTACACTCCAAACCTTGATAATTTTTCAGTTCTTACACATGTTATGAAAAAAATATATAATAATTGAATTAAAAACATATAATTAAAGTCGTTAATCTTTATGAGAACTTGCAGTAGTCCAAAAGTTAAAACTGAAATTATCCTAAAATATGTAAAATAAAATTAAAACTAATATAAAAAATATTATATATGCATATTCAGTCCCAACCAAGACCATAAAAAAAGACTGGAGATGAAATAAATGGCAAGTTGGATTAAATAGAAACATGAAATAAAATATTAGTTTAGGCAGCGATAATCTTAATCTTGTCTGAGCCTCTCTTCTCTCCTTGTGTCTATGTTGTGTCTGTCTCTGTCATTCGTTCACCCTTTCATATTCATAATCATAATAATGCATACATAACATAACACAACAAACAAACCAACTCATTCTCCATCTTCAATTCTCAATTCTCAAATCATTCAAACCTTCATTCTCTCTGCAAATTCAATTCAAATACAACCCCACCATTCATTCCTTCCTCAAGCCTCCCAAAAAACAGCTTGAAACACACCACACACAAAAAAGAACCCCATAAAACTTCACAGACACAAAGGTACACACGAAGAAGAAAAACTCGACGAGGAATAAAAAAGTTCAGTTTTTTCTTTAGTGTGATCATCGTTTCGTCGATGGCCACGGGACCCGAAAGATCGAAGCCACTGCACAACTTCTCGTTGCCCTGTTTGAAATGGGGCACCCAACGGTTACTTCGCTGCGTCAACGCCGACCTCGATCGCCGATCCTCGAGATTCGACGCGTCCCAGAACGGCGTCGTTCGAGTCCCCAACAAGCGCAAAATGAACGACGGCGACGCCGTTTTCTTGGGAGGACTCGGAGAAGAAGCTAGTGGCGTGGCCAACCATGCCATGATGCCTTGGAATTTGAGAACGAGAAGAGCTGCGTGCAAGGCACCGCAGAACGAAGAGGAGCGCAGGTTTTTCGACATGGGGTGTTCTTTGCCGCCGGTGAAGGAAAAGAAGAAGATGCTGGTGACGGGGAATAAGAGAGTTAAGTTTTCTGTTTCCCTCTCTAAGGAGGAGGTGGAGCAGGATTTCTGGGCCTTGGTTGGAACTAGGCCCCCCAGAAGGCCCAAGAAGAGGCCCAGGATTGTGCAGAGGCAATTGAATGTGAGTTGATTCAAGTAAACTAACTAGCAACAATTTGGAGGTTGGATTGTGTGGTCTATGAAATGATATTTTGTTTTCAGGTTCTCATGGTTTTCTGGTTTTTCTTAGCTTAATAGGCATGCAATTCATTTCATTTTAAGAAATTTCATGCTGTTGTTGAACCAATTAGAAATCGTTCATGGCTTTTAAGGTAATAATTTTAAAGAGAACAAATTTACCATACTGGGTAATCTGTTTAAACGGATAATAGTCTAAAAAACCTGACTTTTAAGGTATGTAGCTATGTATTATGAATGTCAGTGAAAGAAGTTGAAAAGAAGAACTTTGGGTATGGGATGCCTTATATACAATGCTGAATACATATCAGAAACTGCAAGAAAAGAGTGAGAATGAATGTTAGATGCAAACGAGAAGGTATGAGCGCCTTATATACAAGCTGAATGTGCAGGAAAAACTGTTAACAACCGTTGGCAGTTACTGTAAATCACGGCCCCACGCGGCAAGATAGTTAGCATGCACAAACGATGTGTGACAATGTCCAAGTTAGAATGGGCTCCTCTGCAGGACACATGTTTGATGTCATTAATCTGAGACCAGGGCTGGTCGGAAACACTTACTACATACATGTCAATTTGTGATTAAATGATAATGGAGAAAACCTGAGTTTTAAGGAAGTCACAAGATATAATATAATAGTCAGCAAACTTACTATAATGTTTGATTGGATGAGAGTGTATTTTAGTTGAGTTTTTTCTATTTTGTTACAGTGTTGTGATGTTTTTTCTGGTTCAATTTATTGCAGACACTTTTTCCTGGTTTTTGGCTGGCTGAGGTCAGTGCAGAGTCATACAAAGTGGCTGATGTTCCTGAATGAGGTAAAATTTTGTGATAGTTCAATTTGGTTTTCAACTGGAATTCATATGCTGTTAATGGTTGTGTTGTGCAGGAACTTAAATGAATGGCTAAACATGGTTCTGATTCTGAATGGATGACCCGAATATTTTAGCTCACTGACTTCCCATGTGTTGTGACATAAATAATGGTAAATTCCAAATCATCTATGTAAATGAAATGTTTAACTCAATAATCATGAAAATTTGGAATTTTGCAATCAGTTGTACTTGTCTGAATGTTGTAGCTTGCAGATTGTACCATCAACTTTGTTTTCACTTATTTGAACATAATCTATTCACCATTTTATTGTTAGAATTATGTTATCCTGGACAAAACAGTTTTTAACATCTCAGTTGTTTACATCATCCATCATTACTCATTGCAATAGTGAAAAGTCCTTTTGGTTTATTGTAGTAAATAGTTCATTTTTGCTCAAATGCTGGAGCTGTTAAAGTTTTTGTTCATCCATCACAGAGCAAGTTCAATATTCACTTTAGCAGAATTTCCAATGGTGTAGGTGGTAAAATCTATTGAGCCTAATCTTTCTGTAAATATTAATGCAATGGCATGGTTTTGTTGAAAGAAATATTCCAACTGAAAGATTTATGAGTTATCCATTTCTGTTGCTAAATTTCCCATTCTTTTCACTTAACCTTGCGCACAAGTTTGTGACCATTTAAGCCATATGCAACTCCAGAACACATAAATGAACTCACTGAAAAATAGTTGTAACTTTAACAGCATTTTTCACTGGTGTTATCAACCAATTCAAGTACTTGCTAAATCAGAGTTCTTCTGTGACATTCTTGATTATTTCATTTAATAGATTTCATGTTTAATAACTGCAAGCATTGGATGGTCTAGTTGGTATTGAACTTGCCAAATTGAATAGTTGAGAAATTATGAAGTTTGTGACCATCCGAATAAGGCAGCATCTGAATTCTGACAGATCTTATAATTAATTAACACTAATGATTATTGAACATCTTTGTCTGTAACAATTCAGTGATTATATATTCAAACTTGAATTTTTTATCCGCATTTAATTTATCTTAAATATGGTTAATCGTTTTAAAAATTGATAAAACATAAATTCCATTATTATACTTATACTAATACTAATATTAACGAAGAAAACCCAAAAAAGAGAATTGATTAAAAACAAACCATGCAACGTAGTTGAAGAAAATATTTAAGGGTATTCTAATTCCTAATTATAAAGAATTACAACTAGAATATATTTAATAGAAATATAATTTCCAAATATAATAAATATATCATGTTGATGAAGCTGGGTATCTGTGGATAATAACTTGTAGTGTTACACTTAACACCAGACCAGTGTGATAATCACATATTCCAGGTTATGTTATCTCTAATTCAAAAACATGACAAAATAATAGATTAATTAACTTTTGTGGGGATAATGCCAATATACTATGATCAAGCAATTAAATAACTTTTCACTGAATAATGTAGCCTTTTTTAATATTATATCATACGAACTAAATTTAGATAAACTAAAAAACATATTTTTATCACACAGTCACTAATTATTTATGTTGGAAATGTTCTGTGATAAAATAAATTAACTAATGAACTCGCTTTATTGAAAGAAAAAAAAAAAACTTCCAGTTCAATTATTAAATCACTAAATTTAACATCTAGTCTTTTTAGAAAAATAAAAGTTTGATAGAGTATGTGTATTTGGAACCATAGAGTTTAGGAGGCATATAAATTACCAATTTAAAATTAAGATGAATTTTAAAAAGTTTAGGAGGATAGAGATAACCAATTTCAAATTTGAAGTAATCCTAGAATCATCTTGTGAATGTTTTTCTATCTAACTTTGACTCTTAAGTGAATTTCCTAATATATATATATGATCAATCCTTCTTGATATTTGAACCTAACGTCAACATCTACCCATTTGAATTAGTATAAGAATTAAAAGTTTATTGGTATACGTAATTATATAAAATATGTGAAAACTCCTTAGGACAATAGCAGTTTTGGTAATACAATATCATATCTTTATTTTATCTTAACAAAATATTAAAATTTGTAAAATTACAAAAAAATTTACAAAATCAACTAACTCAAATTAAATTAATATATTTTTGACATATATTTAATATCCACTATCCTAATAATTCACTTTGTTTGTTATTACCTAATATAATCATGAACCCCAATCCGTTGACTTCAATTTCCTTTACAAATGCACCCACCAAAAAAATTCATTACAAAGGTCCAAATTGATGAATGTTAGTAATTATTCTGGGAATCCAAACCCCGCACATTATGGAAAAAGAAAAGTAAATGAATAGAAGTTTCTTGTAAAAGTAAATATATAATATTTCTAAACCACCAAGAATTATGAGGGTGCATTTCTGAAACTTGATCATTACTTAATTTGCTTTAAGCTTTTTCTAATGTGAGACAAAGTTCATCAGAGGTTCAACCACCAGAAAACTGATGAAACCTCTCCAAGTGGAATCAAAGAAAGAATTTTGGACAAGAATTCGATTGCCCAATACAAAAAACATGAAGGGTTCGGTACATTTGCATGTGAAATACATCAAATCTGAGAAAAAATTGTGTCTTGTTAGATAAACAAAAAGGATTAGGATGACTAGGTGAGCTGGGGGAAAAAGCCAATTCAGAAACCAAATTTCCCACAATGTTTCATCAATGATTTGTTTGCTTTCCCATGAAACTGTCACCACAGTTGTCATACATTTGCAGTTAGAGACAAAATGTTAGTTAAATGGACGAGGAAATATTACTCAAATCAAAACCAGTGCTTATCTGACTCTGTTGAGTTATCATGGAAGATACATTATCAATAAAACCTTATTTCAACCACATATGAAATTCACATCATTCTTTATTCAAAATTTTAATATTATGAGTTAAAAAATCTCAATGTTATACTGTGCTTTTAGACTCACTTAGAATTCTAACCGAATCAACACCCAAAAGAAAAAGTTCCATATTTAGAAGTAGTGAGGAATCACAGAAGAAAACAAAATAAGACAAACTCCCATTGTTATGTCTCCCAAGATGGACACCCTCTTATGGCCATGCCATCCACTAGATCCATCAAAATACAATGATATTGATATATTAAAAATCATTTTAATATATTTTAAAACATCAAAATTAATGTTGATAATGTATTTTAAAGGTACAATACAACAGAGTAACAGAGAATCTAAATTCGATCCATGATATGTTACAATATATTATTTCAGTTTCTAATACTGATATTTAATCATTATCTGCATATGGCTTAATCAACTTCATTGATTATCATGCGATCCAGTAATTAGCCTTTTATTAATTCTCACTTTCTTTGTCTGATCATAGCAAACGATGACTATGATAAAAAAATAAACCAAGATGATTTCATGACATGATTACGATGACGATGAAAACACAAGAGAAATTCATTTCTTGCTCTTCTTAACCTTCCCAACGCGTAAAAATGAACCCAAACTGAAGAGATTTGTACTTCCCTTTGTAACACAAGGAGTTGGTACGTTCAACACAGGATTAATCCTAAGCCCGTTGGGATAATACCCTCCATAACCCTTACCTGAAGGAGATTTCTGCAAAGGATGCATATTTAAGGAAGAATATGAATATGATGATGATGATTTAGCTGCTGAAGAATGCTTGTTTGAACTCACTCTCTTTGGATTTGTCACTGAACCTGTTGAATTGCTTCTTGACAAAAGAGATATAGAGCATGTCAAGTTCTTCTTTGTATCACGATTCAGACTCTTACTTCTGTTGAATCCCCAGAAAGACTTCGAATGAGGCTTCTTCTCATGATCAGGAGTCACATCTAGGAGTTCTCTAATGGTTTCTTTCTTCACTTTGTCGACACTCGAGGCACACGGACGAGGAGGGAGTTTTGTTGTGTTTGTTGTGTGAGGATGTTCCAAATGATGAGTGAGTTTTCTTGCAGTGGTTTTGTGTTGCATCTGAATCGGAAGGATCACCCCATTAGAGAAAAGTTCATCTGCAGAAGATGATTCAAACGCGAGGCTGCTGCTGCAAGTGTTGAACTCAAAATCAGAATTTGAGTCATGCAACAATGTAACATCTTGTTTCATCGGAGAAACTTGTAGTTCGGAGAGATCATGAGAGAAAGAGAGACGAGGTGGAGTTGTTTCTGAGCACATGACAACACACAAAAAGATGTAAACAGAATTGGGAGCAAACAGAAAAACAATATGGCTTTAAGGACTGAAAATATGTGGTTGATTTTGATTCAGAAGTTGAGAACAGAAAGGAACAGAAAGAAAGAACACTTTTGATAGTCTTTCTGATATAGAGTGATACAAAATGAAAGTGAGTCTGATGAACATTTATTGAAGTTTCATGGAGTTGAAAGATTGTGTGTAAGTTGGAAGATCAGAGAAGATTTTGTCTATTACTGTTGGAGAATAGAAACAAAGGAGAAAGACAAATGTGTGAGAAATTGGAATTGTAAAAGATGTTTCAGTCTATAAAATGAGTAAAGAAGATGCTTGATTAGAGGAAAGTGACTCCAATCACAATGTAATTCTGCTGAATTGAAGGAATAATGTTTGGAGTCTTTGTCTATAAAACAGCCAACCTACAAGACTTGATCTGTAAGATATAGACTTTTAGATTTCTCATTCTAACCACTGATTAAGCCTTTTGTTCTTTTTCCCTTATTATATCATATTATATATGTAAGATAAAGGGAGCTTGTCTCATCTCTAATTTAAACAACTGTGCTATCAGAAACCAATCAGAAAGAAAGGTTCTGCCAAATACACATTCCAATCACGATTGTGTTCATCTTTCATCACATTTTTGTTTCTTATCATAAGGATGATTTCTTTTAACAAAGTACACTTTTGTTCATGAGCATGTTGTATAACAAAATGAAAAAGGATTAAATGATTTGGGCAGATTCAACTGCAACCTTTTTTGATTGAATTGTACTGTTACGATTGTGCATATAGTGTAGTGTTCGAGTCCAGAATCTGCTGATTTTTTGTCATCTCTTTTACTTAATATTAGAAATATAATATTGGTGTAGAGAGATTCACAAATAGATATTTATCTAAATTAAGTTTTTAGGGATTTATTTCTAATATCACTTTAAAAACCGATAATATCATATTATTATTATTATAGAGATCTATATGAAAACCGATAATATCTTATTATTATTATTATAGAGATACATGTGTATGTTAAACTCTTTTGGTATGT